GGCTACACATTAATTTCCAAATCCTGCTTTATGTAAATAAAAAGTGGTTCAAAAAGATGTTTGGAGGATCTGTGACATCTGTGACTGCAAAGGCAATGTGAGCCTTTTCAGTTTAAACAGTTAATCTGTCTTGCAAGAAGTGTCTTGCAGGTAATGAACAGTGAGTTTCCAGGAAAAAATAATGAGGTTAAAAATAAATTTTTGCTTTTTTTAACAAAATGAAAAGCAATCAAAAATATTCCTTTGAGTAACACTTAAAATGTTATTAAAGCAAAATCAAAACATTTTATTGTTCTTAGGTTATTCAGCTCTTCCAAACGTATTCACTTAGGTCAATTTTTAAACAAAAAAGTTCTTTAAAACAAAAAAGCACAAACATTTTACCCTAAAAAATTTTCAACTACAACAGTTGCACATTTTCAAGATTTCTCTTACTCCCCTTCTTTGTTTCAGAATTTTGGAGCCTCCACATGCCTCTTTTCTACATAATTTTGTGTTCACTGGCATATTTCCATCATCTCTTTCTTTGAATGTTCCCACTATAAAGTTACACATACAATGGGAAAGACAAAATATAAAATTCTGTACAAGGTAGAGTTTTTCTTTCGCGAAAAATGTATATGTTCCTTTTTTTTTTCCCCTAAGCCTGTCCTCTTCCCTTTCTCAATGTATTTTTTGCCTTTTCTATGCCTTATTCACCATTTTAGTTACTAAGCTGGGATCACGGACTTCATTTGCTCTCTTTTACCACCATTATCCATACCAATTAATTACTGGTATTATGCTACACGTAGTCATTCCAGGCAAGCCTCACAATGTACAGTCTCATCTACTCTGGTATAGTTAATCTCTGAACAAAAACATATCAAGAAGAGAAGATGTCATGTTGCAGCTAAGTACCATGGCTGGACTACAATTAATGCTGTTGATCTGTCCTCACTCTTGTCATTAAGGGCGAGGTCCCACCTCAGACCAGTGTCCCTTAGATCAGTGTTTTCTCTCCAGTCAGAAGAGGGTTCTTAGGGAAATGTGGAAGGGGAGGACTATGTTTTTGGCTGTTCCCACATACTCTCCCCAAACTCCAGCAACATACAGTCAGGTCATGCAGCCCTTAAAGGCAGTTCTAACGATACTATTGTGGTTATTTTATCTCTGGCCCTGTATGTTCTTGGTTTTCCAACAAAAATTTTCCTTTCACTCCCATTTGCATGAAATCATTGCCATTTTGCTTTCTCACAAACGATGTTCTGTAGTTCCACAAAACACAAAGACCAAGTTACATAGACTATTTAGTGCATGTTTATTGCACATTGGTGTATAATTTATCTGAATTAAAAAGTACTGCTCATATAAAAAATCTAAAAGCAGTGAGTATGGAGAAATGGTGCAAGCCCCAAGACTGTGCTCTCTCCTGTGAAACTCTGGCCGGTAACCAGTTCAAGAAATAGAAGGGTTTAAGAAACACTGCTACATATTTTTCTGCTTGTTTTAAAGAGAATCCTTACTGCTATAGTTTACATAGAAAAAAGTTATTCCAGCTCACTGCATACTTTTATTTTTGTTAAAGAGAAAGTAAAAGTATCCATTGCATGGTTGAAAAGGAGAAAATCTTCATCTATGTATGAAAGCAATCAATTCATTCCACTTGTAATGAGATTCCTCCTGTCACTTCAGTTTGATTGTTTACCTTTACAATTGCTCCCCATGCTGTTTAGCAAAAGAAGAAAAAGAAATGGAAAGAATCAAAAGCTAAGCAACTCAACGTAACTATGTTTCATCTCATCACTACCTGTTCTGAATAATGTATTTGCATATTTATAACACTGTCTTACTACAGGAATGACAACCTTTAGTGGCAGCATGTAAACCAGCAAGATAGTGAGAGCTCAACCTGTTCTAAGAACTCACTGGAAACTGGCTGTGCTCTTACGGTGGGCACAATCCTCAGTGGTTGTGGCTGCACTCAACATGTTGAACAATACCTTCTCTATGATTTAAAAATAAATAGGAATTATTCAGCTAATAAATATTTCAAATTTTAGTGAAGTTTCACATGCCAAATCAAAAGGAAGAAGTATCTAAAAGCCAGCATCATCTTCTGTTGTGTTTAGTGGACTGTTCATGCTTCATGATGGTGCTTGCTTTTCCTGTCAGAACACTCTAGGACCTTTCTCCTGTTACAGAAAACTAAATTTCTGCTGAGCCAGTCACATTAGCTTAAGTACAGAGATTTAAGTACTCACATTAGCCACGCTGCTCTGGAAGAATCGTTAAGTTTTCCTTATATCCCAAATAATGTTCCGCAAAACTCCTGTGGTTACACTTGGGCATCCCTTCAAGAATTTCTAACACTACTTTCTGTGACACATGTATAAGTTCTGTGGTATTTAGTGCACAATTGTTCATAATATTAATTTTAAGTAAGTTGCATTCCCTTTTCAAATTAATCTATCCTGTTCCCACACAATAGGCACAGTGGATACCCAAAAATCTCAAATCACTTTTAACAAGGGTCCCCTGAGGCTCTAGAAAAGAACAGCTCAAATTCTTGAGTCTCTCAAATTTAGCCACAAGATGGAAGGAAAAGCAGATATACCTCACTTGACAGAGTCTGCTTCCCAGAACTGGAAACTGCCCCTCCATATGCCCAAAATCACAGAGTATGGCCAGAATTGCAGAGCCAAGCACGTGCCTACTGTCATTTTGGCACCAGAAAAACCCAAATCAGTGCATTAGTTCTTTTCAAACACTAAGTACCTAAGGATTTACGGCATAAATGTATTTAGTATTTTCCAGCAGAAATTCTGTTTCTGCTGCTCTGACGTATCTCAGCATCCAGCTGCACTGGACTGGTAAAAGCACATGTGCCGGCAGTTTGCCTAGGAACTACTATGGTTCATTGTATAATATAGACAATTTTAAGGAAATTCTAGTTCACAGAGACAAATTACACAGTTTTTTCTTGAAAATTCCTCCAGAAGGAAGACTCATCCACCAACAGACATACGTCGATTTTTTCTATGGTACAAAATAACCACAACAAGCCTCTAGACTTTGTTGATTTGTATTTAAATAGTAAAAAAACCCCAACTGTGTATATGAGACTAGTGGACTTGTTTTATGGCAAGAAAACTGTTTTAACCAGAGCAAAGTGTACTTTCCTTAGCGATGTAGCAATTCATGCTATTATTTATGCTCACAGTCAAATATATTTTCTTTAAGTTTTACCAGTATGTCAACCTGAACATCTTCTCTGAAATGCTATTGTAACTATTACCCATCCCATGATCATTCTCAGCCTCTTTTGCTTGGAACTAGTAAAACCGATGTACATGGAACAGATAATCCCTATCTCTCACTGTAATTGAACAGGGATTTTGTTTTCTTTCGAGTCAGTAATGTCTAAATTGGATTAAGATAATAGTCACTTACAAGACCTTCTTTACAGAAGTTGCTTTCATTGCTGCTATATTTAATACTAGAATTTTATTCTACACCATTCTCATATGAATAAGTTTCCATGAAATTCACACTTAACTTCAGATTACACTTAAGGACTAAATACTTCATGAAGAGGAAAAAAATACCCTGATTTTTGTTTTTGCTGACATATTCATGAAAGAATACAATAATTGTCACGCTGGCACTGTTCATTACGATCAGATGAAATTCAAATGATATGATAAGAGTGACCGATCTCAAAATCAGAGGACTTTTAGTCTATCTATTTATGTGTGTTTAAACATCTTTAGCTGGTAACGAGCCCTTCGCACTCCCTGTCCGGGCAATCGCTGCTCTTGGCAATAATAATCTGAGAGCGTGGCTGAGAATGGAGCTGACAGATGCAAGACTGATGGAAATTACTGCTAGTTAGCAGCACATGCATTCATTCATCCAGGGAGTAATTTTTTATCATTCCAGAAGTAAGCTAAAAGTCATAAAATATTTTGTCAATACCTAGAAATAAATCTGTAGTGTATTCAACGTTTATGAACATAAAATATAATGTTAAATAGATAATTGAAGTGTCAGTATGCTCAATGTTGTAAAAAAATCTCTGAAAAAATGGAATACATTCTGTGTGCCTAATTTGTCTGTTTTGTGAGGTTTTTTTCAATATTGCAACTGGAGAGCTCATAATGCACGTGTGACTGCTGATATGCATTTCCAAGACCAAATAATGCCAACCATAAAATCCTGATTAGTCTTTCCTTTACTCTAGCATATTATTGCTTTCATTATTTTAGCTACTGAGATGAATGACAGAGGTGACAGAAAGGAAAGAAGAATAATGCACATTATTAAAGGCAATATACAGTGCAGTGAAATTAGCAGTCATTATTTCTGTGTTGACCATAATACTGCTGTACTAGAGACTGTAAAGTAAGATGTTACAGTGCAATCAGTACTTGTTCTTGGTATCAAATATATATGAAGCTTCCTTACCTTACAAATAATTACCTTAGGTGCATTGACCAGGCAGTGATTCCAAACACAATTTTTTTCCTTTATCTATAGTGCATTTTTACACACATTAAGCAAAACGTTATCTTTTTATTAGAATGATGCCCTGAATAAATATTCAATCCTTTAAAAAAAATTCCATCTCGAAAGAAACAATAAACAAAAGAGAAAACTTATTTATGTACACCAATATTACAGCAGTAATCTATACAAGCTATACTTTCTCAGGAGAAACAGACTTTTCCCAGAACAAATGAACTTTAAGATGGTTTCTCTTTTAGACGAATTATCTAAGTAACAGTGGCAATGTAGTAACTGTGGAGGTCTACAATTATATGGGAAGCAAGGTTTGTGTAGCAAGAGAAAAATTGTATTCAAGTAATTGATGTAACTTGAAAAAATCAAACTAGTCTTGGACTCAGAGACTATTATGAGTCTATTAATTAAGTCATTAATAAGTAGACAGGCAATAGAAGTGTAACAGCTAACGCATAAATGTTTCGACACTAACTGCAACTGGAATCCACATACAGTACCTTAGCTTTATCCCTCATGGATCCTTTCCCCAGGATGGACATTTTTGCACCTGTTTCTTCTTGTAACCTCTTCAAAGAGTTTCCTCTTGGTCCAAGCAATTTCCCAACAAAATTGAACTAGAAAGCAAAGAAGAAAACTATTTTAGAACAAGTGGTACTTTTTCAAAAACTTAATAAATCTTTATAAACAAGCTACCTAAAAAAGAAAAGTTTAATTTCCTTTAAAGAAATACTCCTACTTAGTTCTGAGCCTAATTCCTTGGGATACAAGTCTGGAGAACTGAGGTATCCTCTCATCTAGCCTGGAAGGCAGTGAAAGCATTCATGGTTTATTTGAACCCCAGGAGGCTTCTCTCTAGGTCAAAAATGGCCAGTGGCTGCTTAGCTTTAGCTAACTGTTAAACAAGATCTTTGCTTATCAGATGGTACAGGTGAAACCCAGAGAATACATAACATTCTTTCCTGAGTTAGCCAGTTTTATTGGCAAAGTAATATATTCTGCAAAGTTAGAGCTTTAGATGGATTTTTAGGAATTGATGTTTTACACATTGATTTTAAAATAAGTGCTGTTTTGTGTATTGGCTTCAAATACCTGTTTTGCCAGCAACAGAACAAATCACAAACAATAGATCACTCTAGATATTCAAGGCTATTTTCTGAGACGATTTTGAAGAACATCGGGCTTTGTCTGGCATGCTGCTAATATTCTTAAACATTGAACATTTTATGTGACACATACAACATTTTTTTGTATATGAAGAGGCCCTCCTCTTCTTTGAAGCTCCAAAATATTTTTTTTAAGCTTGTGTGCTTGTATTTTTTTTTTTAACTCTCTCTGTTGATTTCAACTCTTTAATAAATCCTACCCCATTTTGGATTTAGAGATGATGCCCCAACATGTCATCAACAATCCTATGTCTTGAAACTGTAGCTATGCTACTTCCAGGCACAACTTGGCTTAAAATAAGTCGTTGGCTTCAAATTGATTAAATTAAACGAAACAGTGAGGAAGGAATGGCAAGGACTAAATTTCGACTTTAATACTAGACCTTGGACTTAATCTATTGACAGAAGAAAGATTTAAATAATTCCACATCTCATGTATGTGAAGATTTACTAGAGGCAGCTGAACAAACAGTATAGCTTTTATTCCTCTACAGGGACACCCTTACGTGCAGAATGGCTGTTCACAAGTTACAAAACAAAATCCTTTGTGACACCCATACACCACCAATCAGAGAAGAATCATCTACTGCTGCATCCTTTTGGTGTCTCTTAATATTAATAAAAGCAGCCCCTTGAAAGCCGAAAGAGCTATACTGCTATGTAAGTTTGGAGGAGACTACCAGAAGGCCAGCCAAAGCTCGACTCCATTTGTTCTCTGAATGGAATAAAACTATTAAAATATACTCTATGAAGATTTATGCTGACCATTTATATTCAAACACTTCATAAACTGTCTAATAATTACTCTGACATATGGCTGCAAAGGAGCAGTATGGCCAGCATAAACTATGTACAAAGTGAATTTTAATCACTTCACAGGAAATAAGTGGCTGGGGATTTTAATTCTATTGATTATGTAGCAGACAGACAGTCACATTTCATCCACCTTCTAAAAAACACACATCAGGAAGCAAGCAATTACTTCCAACTGAGTAACTGAATTGCTTTTAATTCAGTTTTGGCTAAAGTTGCAGAAAAGCCAGTGCACTATATCAGACATTCAACTGTTGTGCTGAGTCCTCCCAGCCACTGGCTATCCTCAGCACCAGTCTATAATCACAAAACTCCTGAAAGTAGTAACAGAGTAACTTTAACTCAATAACTTATGAAAAATGAAATCCTTTATGTTCACACGTGGGTAAAAACAGCAGAAAAGTAAGAAATTTGAAACACAATTTTATTGATCTTTCTCATTTTATTAAGATATGCGGATAAGAACCTGAGCAGAATTACTTTTAACAATGGAAAGTTTAAGCTCCAGTTATGGTCACAGACACAGCCAAAGCATACAGCTACAGTGAAGGAAAACGTGAAAACTCAGGGAGTTTGACTGCATATAATCACAGAATCATAGAATCACTAGGTTGGAAGACACATCTGAGATCATCAAGTCCAACCATCAAATGACAACCCTTGCCCACAAACATTCCTCGTTCAGACACTGCCACTGCAGAACTTATTTTGCAATCTTAGTTCTGATCCAATTCCACCATGTGTACAAATTTCTCCAAATAATAGTAGGTCTAAGTCTGTGGGATATCTCTGGGATATCTGATCGTATCAGGAGAGGATAGCTGAGAAATGGTGACATACCGAAGAGAGAGTATTAACAGAAAATTTCCACTACTGGGGAGAAAACAGACTTTCACTTGAAAAACATGGTTATTGTTGTGTTACTGGATGTTTTCTATAGCTGGCTTAACTTCTCAGTTCTATTTATGAATGACAGCTGGGCTTTCCATGTGCTTGTAGAAACCCTTCCCGGTTTATGGTACAGATTTTGCACACTATTTTCTTTAATTTTTTTATCATTTGCATAGAGGAGACAGATGCATGTCTTCAGGGGAAAATGATCAGGTAGCAGAGGATGCTTTACTTATAATCAAATGCACATGAGGCTTTGTGTGTCAACATCTGAGCAATAAAGATTCTCCTATGTAGAATAAAACCTGTCAGAGAATATATCTTGATAGGTCTTTTGAGTTTCCACAGTCAGTCTTCTCAACATCTTTCTCAACCAATATACACAGTTTTACCACATTTATCTGCATTTAATCACTTTCACACTCTACCCCGCACAATCATTCAGACTGTAAGGTACCCAAAGCCAACACTCTGGCTTCTCAGCCTCCATCAAAATTTTTATTCATAAATTTTTTTTTATACTCTTATAGAATGAGCCAAAAAAAGATACTTCATATGTGGACACACAGAGATTATGCTCTTTCCCCAAACTGTGCTGCTCCCATCCAACTGCAAAGGTTTGTGCTTACTCATAGAGAACACTTATTGACAGTGTGAGACATTCTGCTCCAGTCTATATGCTAGGACTGAATGTTTAAAACTAAAGATTAGATACCCAACAAGTATACTGAAAATGGAGAAGCCTTAAGAACTAACTACATGAAATTTCTTACCAAAAACCTGCCTATGTTAGTGAAAACCTTACAGATGTGCCCCATGCATGAATACACATATAATCACAGACTTGCTCATGTCCAAAACCCCTTGCAGTAAAACATGCTGCACATCAACACACCTCACTTGCTTCAGGCTAAGACACTGGGAAGAGAATCCCTAAAACTAACCAGGTGTAGTCAAGCCGGATAACAGCACAGGAAGTCTGTCTCCCAGTGTCAGCATTTATTCTATCAATATACCATACATGGTTTCTGTGAAATGTCAGAGATTAATTATAACCTGTACTGTAAACAAAACTCAAAATAAATCCTCCAGCTTACATACAAGTGGCATTTTCAGGGGTTGGTATTGAGACTGGTGCTATTTAACATTTTTGTCAGCAACATGAACAGTGGGATTGAGTGCACCCTCAGCAAGTTTGCCGATGACACCAAGCTGTGTGGTGCAGTCGACACTCTGGAGGGAAGGGAGGCCATCCAGAGGGACCTGGGCAGGCTGGAGAAGTTCAACAAGGCCAAGTGCAAGGTCCTGCACCTGGGTCGGGGCAATCCCAAGCACATACACAGGCTGGGTGATGAGTGGATCAAGAGCAGACCTGTGGAGAAGGACTTGGGGGTGTTGGTGGGTGAAAAACCGAATATAAGCCAGCAGTGTGTGCTGGCAGTCCAAAAAGCCAATCATATCCTACGCTACATCAAAAGAAGTGTGGCCAGCAGGTTGAGTGAGGTGATTCTGCCCCTCTACTCTGCTCTGGTGAGATCCCAGCTGGAGCATGGTGTTCAGCTCTGGGGCCCTCAACATAAGACGGACATGGATCTGATCAAGCAAGTCCAGAGGAGGGCCACAAAGATGACCAGGGGGCTGGAGCACCTCCTCTGTGAGGACAGGCTGAGAGAGTTGGGGTTGATCAGCCTGGAGAAGAGAAGGCTCCAGGGAGACCTTATTGTAGCCTTCCAGCATTTAAAGGGGGCCTACACGAAAGATGGGGAGGGACTCATTGTCAGGGAGTGTAGCGATAGGATGAGATGTAACAGTTTCAAATTGAAAGAGGGTAGATTTACATTAGCTATAAGGTAGAAATTCTTCACTGTGAGGGTGGTGAAACACTGGAACAGGTTGCTCAGAGAAGCTGTGGCTGCCCCCTCCCTGGCAGTGTTCAAGGCCAGGCTGGGTGGGGCTTTGAGCAACCTGGTCTGGTGGGAGGTGTCCCTGCCAAGGCAGGGGGCACTTCCAACCAAAACCATTCTATGATTCTATGAATGTTGTGATAGTCTTAAGGGTACTACAGCACCTCAGGAAGATAATCTCTATTTTCATTGCCATCTCTTTGATGTAGCCCAAATACATATACATCCCCACTAGAACTGTAACACTTCTTATTTTAATTACAAGCAGTAACAAGGTATATGCTTGCCATTCAGAAAAAGTGTTTGTGTCAGTGACTCTTTCTTTTTTATACACAGATCATGTTCAGAACAGTAATAAAACCTTGATAAATAAGAAATGGGACAGACAAAAGTTTCCAGCTGTAAGATAAAGCAGCACAAAGGCCTGAACTGGGAGAATAAATTAATATCTTCCAGAAACAGCAAAACAGAAATAGAATGGGCTTGGCAATATGAAATAGGTTTGTTATTTCTTAGTGTGTTCTGTTCGCCATTGCTATCAGCTCCTTTGTGGGGTGACAAAATGTCTTTCCCTTTTCAGAGCTACTTATCCTCCCAAATTCCTCTCCTTATTCATGGGGAAGAAACTCCTTCTAAATTCAGTCCTGTGCTAAAGGGGAGGAGACAAAGAAATTACTCACTCTTTAATAAAACCTTTCTGATTGAGATCTGCTTATAAATTAGTTTTCTTCTGGTCCTATTCTAGGACTTCCAATAGTTAATTTACTTCAGAATAGCATTTATTTTAAGAGTAACTCACCCTTTAATATGCACAAGGGACTTCCCTTCATGTTAAGGCAGTAC